ACAAATAGTATCACTTTTCAAAAATAAATAACAATAATCATGTCTGAAGACATTACTCTTCCATCAGCTGAGAAAGTTCAGCAGAAATAGAAATGACCTGACATCATTAATTTTTTACAAGATAATAAAGACAAGTTGAATCTTGATGACAATGACATTGATATTATCAAAAAAAATAAACTCTCTGGTCACAGGTTCCTTGAATTATCTAAAGATGACCTTCTAGCTTCTTTATACAATTTTTCTAATAGACCAGCTAGAACTATTGCTGAATTAATTAGAAATATTAAGGGCGAGGACCAGGGTAAGTAGTACCACAACTGCATTTGAATATTTCAAACCTATATTGCTTTCTCTGCAATAATTTCATTTATTAACTTGGGCCTTATACTTATTATACAGATATAGTTGGTGGTAGAATTACTGAATTACAGCATTACAGCATTCTACTATATGGTAGAATTAATTACGGCATAGCATCTGATTGCCGTAATTATGTAGTAGAGCCAAAATTCAGAAAATCGACCAAAATTCTGGGTCAGTATATATTAGAACGTTTTGGTATTACTTTATACGACCTGTTTCTGATGAATTCGGACCCAGGCTTTTGGTCAGTACACTTAATTTTGGTTTTGTATTTATAATTATGGCAATTATGGCAAAAAATATAGCATGTGCCATAATTCGATAATTTTCAAAATTAATTCTACTACCAACTATATATACAGGTACAGATGCAAAAGATCAGAAAATAAAAGAATTAGAAGAAAAACTAATAACACTTCAGCGAGAGAAGATTGCAACCTCATAAGAGAATTTATTCATAGTATGCAAACTATTATGTAGAGTGTCTCTGATACAACTAATAATGTTTGCAATGCAGATCTTCATTAGCTACTAAGTGATATTTTTTTGAAGTAGATAATTATGAAAAAGGTTGGTTGTATAATATATGTCTGTGTCTGTAGAATTTTGTAAACTTAACTACTTTTCCAATTTGTCCAGAACAAGAAAGAAATGTAAAAAAGATTCAGAGTTACCTTCCCCTATCATCCTTTGCACTTCTTGGTAATCTTATTAAATATCATGTTAAGAATAAGCAGTTACTTATTCATCATCCTCCAGAATGCATTGGCCCACTGGTACAAGTTTACCACGATGTTTTCAATTAGTTCCTGCATAATTATCACAACGAAGATCTAGAAATGAGAAAAGAACATTATCAATAGGCTCTTAAGTTCATTCATGAAATAGCAAACATATATCCTAATGAACATGAGCATTCTAAAAAATTTAGAGAAAAATTTCAACAATTATTTGACAAAGAATTAAAAATAATTTGCCTAGATGATGAATCTTCAAATAGTAGTGTATTAGAATATAATTTTTATTTATTTAGTATATTACGCCTACTTGCTAAGATAAAGAATGAAATTGGTACCGATAAATGTGATCTGACTACCCAGGCTGGGACTTCTTATGTGAAATATTATATCCAAGAAAAAAATGAGGAATTGCTCAAATGGTGCAACTGGTCATCTTTTATCTTATGCTTAGCTAGACCTTGGGTGTGTGTTTTAGAAGTAGTGTATGTTGAGAAACTCATTGTAGATCTCTTAACAAACCTCATACCTCTCATTTCTACAAACATTTGATATCATGCAGAGCGAGTGGCATGACTATTCAAAGCTTTATATTTGGAGGTTAATAGGCTAAAGGAGTATTATGGAACAATAGCAAATCTACAAAATTCACAACAGTTTTTTCCTTATCCAAATCAATACAAATAACAAGATACAACTATAGAATTTATATATGAAAAAAGCTTGTAGATTAGCCAAACAAGCTTCTTTGAAAAGCTATAACAAAAGGCAGGAGAGAAATTGTTATTAAATTCACATAGTGCTATAATCAGAGAGCACATGAGTTGTGTAGCGAAATTGGAAAAGTGCCAAAATTACTCTATATTAGAAAAGAGGTGGTGTATGGTTTTTATATAGTCGTGATGGATTATGTTAAGGCCAAGCCACTTTACAACTGCAATAATTTGCTTAGTCATGATAAATGTAAAATGGTTTTCGAGGATATTGAAGAAGCTATCAGCAAATTGCATAAGGAAAATATCATTTTTGCTAATCTCTGTGATTCCAACATTTTGGTTAACAAATCTCAAGATCAATATCAAGGAATATTAATAGATTTCGATTGGGCTAGTAAGGAAGGAATTGAGTGCTATCCATCTTTCATGAATAAAGATATTAATTGGCCACCAGGAGCTGAGGATAGGAAGAAACTGAGTTGGGAACATAATATGCATTGGTTGAAGTTATTAAAATCTAATTACTTAGGTGAAAGTATAGAGCTCGAATGATTAGTTAGCATGGTATTTGAGAATAAAGTAGAAAACAAACAACTATGCTAACAAGCTGTACATGTATTTAATATAATTTGTTTTTAATAATATAATAATAAATAAATCCTTGAATTAATCATATTTATACGTTTTGGGAATTTTTCTATCTTTCTTGATCTTATTTTGAGAATTAAAATATTTATTATCTGCTTTATTGATTATGAATTTTGGGCAAAAATTTTAATTTTCGATTTATTATAGAATTTATTTTGGCAGAAATTAGTCAGATTGGGTAATCTTAATATATATATTTATTATTTGAAAACGTTTATGCATATCTCTGTAAAAGTATGCCCTTATGATTGAGCTATTTTAATAATACTAGC